AGCTTGATGTTTCTACCTTGGCAGGGTTGGGGAAGCACGTTTTGGGGGTGGATATCTGACAAGGGTTGTTGCAAAGGTATGTTTTTCTTTGTGATCTTGAAGAACCCCCAGGTCAGGAATGTATTTAAAATGGTCTTTTGTTTGGTAGTACCTGTTGTCACCTTGCAAAAAGAAAGCTGGGCCTGGTAGTACACCCCTGCAATCCCAACAATCAGGAGGCTGATGCAGAGCGCTGCATAGTGAGTTTAAGGTCAGCCTGAATTACAGAGCAAGACCCTGTCTCAAACAACGGCAGCAGCAGCAGCAGCAACAACAACAACAACAACATAATAATAGTCTACCATATCACATCTCTTGGGAGGAATATTCCTTCAATCTAGGCTCCAAAAATCTACAGACAAAAATTCCAAGGCACAAAAGATTACTGTAAAAATAATATCACAAATCACACAAGAAAACTATTGTACAGTAAGAGCCAGGAGTAACAAAGACAGTAACCCATCTAGACTTCAGAAAATTTGTTATATCTTTGTAATTCCAGTGTTTGATTAAATGAAGGATTGAAATAGGACTATGAATTAAGGGTCTCTGAAACATGACCAAGCAAATGGGAAATAAACAAAAATAGAACTTGTAGTTATGAAAAATTAACTGACATTAAATAGAGAAATTAATTATCTGGGCATGGCGATGCATGCCTGTAATCCCAGCCCTCCACAGAGGCTAAGGTAGGAGGATCACCTTGAGTTCAAGACCAGCCTAAACTACATAATAAGACCTTGTCTCAAAATAAATAAAGCTGGGCATGGTGGTGCACGCCTGCAGTCCCAGTATTTGGGAGGCTAGGGCAGGAGGATCTCCATGAGTTCAAGGCCAGCCTGGGCTACATAGTGAGTTCACAGCCTGCCTGAACTGCAAAGGGGGAGACCCTGTCTCAAAAAACCAATAAATAAGTAAATAGAGAGACAGAGAGAGAGACAGACCTGGAAGATATTGAACATCTTGTGAGAATACAGCGGAGACAATAAACATATGAAAGGTTGAAGCATAAAAATTATAGTGACGAGGGCTGGGGATTTAGCTCAGTGGTTTTGCCACCTGCTGTGCAAGCACAAGGACCCGAGTTCGATCCCCGTACCAAAAAACAAAACAAAAATTATAGTGATGAGTTTTAACATTGTATCTAATTGTAGTTCCAGAAGGAAATACGTATGAATGAAGGGGTAAGGTAATGGTCAAATTAAATGAGAACTTTTCAGAATTCTTTTTTTTTTTTTGGGTACTGGGGATTGAACTCAGGACCTTGTGCTTTCCAGGCAGGCAGTAAAACCACAGAGCTAATTCCCAGGCCCTCAGAATTCTTAAAAGATAATCCTCAGGTGGTAGAAATTCAGGGAATCGAAAGGAGGATAAGTGAAATAAGTCCTGGCAAATCAGAGCGAAACTGCAGCAAGCCAAAGACAGAGCAGTCTTAAAGTTAGTAGTTAGAGTGAAACAACAGATTACTATAAAAATCTTATTCTTTATTCTGACAACTGATTTCCCAGGAACAACAGCAGAAGCCAGATAACATTGAAATGCTATCTTCAATGTACTAAGAACAAGTAGCTGTCAGCCTTGAAATGGCATGCCCAGTAAAGCTTCAGGAATGAGCCTGAAATAGACATTTTCAGACAAAAAGATGAGCATTTACTTACAACAGGAGAATCTAGAGGATGTAATTTATATAAAGAAAAATAATTCTAAATGGGAAGCCTGAGATGCTTTAAGGTTACCACAAAGTATTTTATTACATATATAATAAAATTTACATTTTACATTTGTATCATTTCAAGTTTTATTATTAACTGGACATACACATGGACATGTTTATGTATGTGTATTTTAATGTAGATTTAATTCTTTTGACTAGAAACCCACATACACAGTCAAAAATACTCATATATTTTTGTTTCTTGGTACATGCTGTAAAATAATTTTTTTTGGTAGTACTTGGGATTGAAACCTGGGCCCTCACACTAAGCTACATCCCCAATTCATTTTTTTTTTCTTTTTGAGATAAGGTCTTACTAAATTGCTCAGGCTAGGCACAAACTCAAAACTCTTCTGTCTTAGCCTCTCAGAGTACTGGAATTACAGGTGTATTACATTGCGCCCAGCTAAAATGTTTTTTAAAAAGTGTTTTCTTAAAAGGATTTACCATTTGCATTTTATTTAACAGACTGTGTTGGCTTTATTTATAAATGAGTGTTAGAGCTGGGTGTGGAGAATTGCTGCAATTTCAAGGACACCCTGGGCTACATAGTGAGTTCAAGATCAGCTTGAACTACATGGCAAAACTCTGTCTCTGAATGAATGTATGTATGAATGAGTGTTAGGGCTAGTTTTATGTGATAAAAATTGATGTTTCTTTCTGGAGTTTGATTTAGTTACATCTTTAAAATGTCTCATCTCAGCTCTCTTGCTTTTGGATTAGAAATGTTTTTCTAAACCACAGCATTCTGAAAAAAGAGATCAAAGAGGATATCAGAAAATGGAAAGACATACCTTGTTCTTGGGTAGGAAGAACAAATACAGTGAAAATGGCCATAGTTCCATAACTGCTATATAGATTCAATGCAATCCCTATTGAAATTCCAACAGCATATTTCACTGAACTAGAGAAAACAATCCAAAAATTCATTTGGAACCAGAAGAGACCTAGAATAGCAAAAACAATTCCAGGCAACAGAGACGTGGCAGGGAGTATCACAACCCCCAACTTGAAACTACGCTACAAAGCTACTGTAATAAAAACAGCATGGTGTACTGGCAAAGAAACAACTGAGGATCAGTAGAACAGATTAGAAGATGTAGAAACAACTCTAGACATACTTAGCTACCTCATCTTTGACAAAGGAGAAAAACACCCTTACTGGAAAAAAGATAGCTTCTTTCATAAATGGTGCTGGAAAAACTGGGTTTCAACTACTTGGCAAAGGTTAAAACTAGACCCATACCTTTCACCATGCACTAAATTAAAATCGAAATGGATCAAAGATCTAAATATTAAAACAAACACTAAACTTGCTGGAAGGTAGGTTAGGTAGAATTCTTGAAGATATTGGCGTAGGAAAAGACTATGAACAGAACCTCAGTTGCATGGGAACTAGCACAAAGAATTAACAACTGGGATCTCATCTTATTAAAAAGCTTTTCCATAGCAAGAGAAACCACCAGCAGAGTGAAGCAACAACCCACAGTGTGGGAAAAAATTTTTACCAGCTGTTCCTCGGACAAAGGACTACTATCTAGAATATATAAAGAACTTTAAAAAATCAAACCCCCAAAATTTAAAGACCCAATACAGAAATGGACATCTGAAATGAATGGACATTTCTCAGATGAAGTAGAAGCAGCAAATAAACATGAAAAAATGTTCAACATCACTGGTCATTTGAGAGATGCAAATGAAAACAATGCTGAGAGTCCATCTCACCCAAGAAAGAATGGCTGCTATCAAGAAGTCAACCAATAACAATTGCTGGAGGAGATGTGGGGAAAAAGGAGCCCTTCTCCACTGTTGGTGGGAGTGCAGACTGGTGCAACCACTGTGGAAATCAGTGTGGAGATTCCTCAAAAAACTAGGATTAGAGGTCTCATTTGACCCCGCTATTCCACTTCTGGGTATGTTCCCGAAAGAATTAAAAGCATCATACCACAGTGATACATGTACACCCACATTTATAGTGGCACAATTTGTAATAGCTAAATCTTGGAAACAGCCCAAATACCCATCAACTGGTGATTGGATAATGAAGATGTAGTTGTTGTTTTTTTTTTTTATAAATAAAATGGAGTACTACTCAGCCATAAAGACAAACTAGAGACATTTATAGCTAAATGGATATATCTCGAGGCTATACTCTTTAAGTGAAATAAATAGGACATGTGTAAATACCAAATAGTTTCTCTGGTGTGAGAAACTGAAAGTCTAAATGACCAAAATGTATAATAGATATTGAGAAATAGGAAGAAAATGTTCAGAGGGGAAGGGGAAGGGGAACTAAGGAAGGGGGTGCAGAGGAAAGGAAAAAGGGAAAGAAAAAGAAATGAAAAAAGGAAAAAACAGAAACAAAGGTTATGTAAATAGGGAGGAGTGGAAGGGGAGGGAAAGAGAATGAGAAAAAGTAAGAACCAAGATATGTACTGATACAAATTCCCAATAATGTATGTGATCATAAAGTATACCTAAAATGTACCAATAAACTTAATTAAGAAAAGAAATGTTTTTCTAACAGAAACAGAAATGCCAACTAAAATACATTCTTCCTAAAAGAAAATATTTCTAACTTTCTACAATGTAGTCTTGATATTTTTTTAGGTACTGGAGATTGAACCAGGGTATTGGCACTGAGCTACATCTCCAGCCCTTTATTTTTTGAGATGGAGTCTCACTAGGTCACTAAATTGCCAAGGCTGGGCTTAAACTTGTGATGCTTTGCCTCAGCCTCCCAAGAGTGCTGGGATTATGGGGATGTCCTACCATTCCTGGCTTATTTTTTCTGTATTTTTTTTTCATTTATTAATAAATATATACTTGGGCTATTTAAAGAAGTGTTGAATAAGAAAAAAAGAAAGGGTGAATGTTATTTTATTTAGTTTTTTATTATAAAAGAAGACTGCTATTTTCAGTGCTGCTACATTCTTTTCTATCTCTGTGTATTCTGCACCAACCAGCCAACAGTATAAAAATAAACTTGTTTAAATAAAAAGGTCATTTAGAAGGGAAAAGGACTTTTCATTTGTTTGGGAATTCTAACATGATCTTATTGTAAGATGTGTTCTTTAACACTTTTTTTTTTTTTTTATGGTACCGGGGATTGAATTCAGGACCTTGTGCTTTCGAGGCAGGCAGCGGCACCACTGAGCTAAATCCCCACTGAGCTAAATCGGCAGCACCACTGAGCTAAATCCCCGGGCCTCTTTAACTTTATTTTTCTGTCCCTTTGCCATTTCAGGTGCGAGTGAAAGTGTAGGAAAGCACATGCTTGAAGCCTGCAACAACAACCTGGAAATGGCAGTCACTATGTTCCTGGATGGGGGAGGAATCGCCGAAGAGCCCAGTACCAGTTCTGCTAGTGTCTCCACTGTCAGACCACATACAGAGTATGGATCAATTGTTTACTATTAGCAGCAACCTCCCCACCCCCCATCAGCTAGTTGTGTTTTTGTCAAAGTTAATTCGCTGTTTTTTTGTTTAAAAAAAAAAATTAAAGATTGAAAGCTCCTAAAAAAAAGTCAGGTGGAAATTTTTGTACTTAAAAACCTTGAATTCTCTAGAGCACTGTTGTGTCTATTATTTAATCCTCTGCTCTTCAGTCCTCAGAAGACCTGTGTGGGCCGCATGTGAGTCTGGGAGACCAGCTGGTGGCCGATGCCAGAGGCAGGGCTTGTGAGTCCTGAAGCATTCAAAACCAAAAGAGACAATAGGACCATCAGAGAACCTTACAGGGTGGCATTGATACCCACATCTTACTGAGGTTGCAGAGCATTAAGCAGCAGATATGGAAGGCCAGTAAAGTGTGTATTTCCTAGAATGATTTTCCTACTTTGTCTCAGGAAAGTGAGTAGCCATACAAAATTTTTGAACAATACATATATATATTTTTTTGGTACCAGTTATCGAACTCGGGTCCTTGCGCTTGGGCAGCAGGCGGTGAAACCACTGAGCTAATCCCCGGCCCTTGAACAATAATTTTAGACTGGGATTGTAGCTCAGTGGTAGTGTGCTTTGCTTGCTTGGGAACCTAGGTTTAATCTTCAACACTTAGAAAGAATTAAATTTGTAAAAAAGAAAAAGGATCCTGGTCCCTAAGGAACTATAACGTAGAGAATACTAGTAAATGGTGAAGAGTTTTGGTGTTTTGCCCTTTTTATTAATAAATGTGTACTTAGGCCATTTAAAGAAATGGAAAATAATTGTCTATTTAGTTTTGTTTTTATCATAAAAGAAAACTATTTTAATACCAGTGAGGTTTAAAATAAGTATCTGTTGTTCAAGACTTTAAAAAATACTAGTCTCACTATGTAGTTCAGGGTGTCCTTGAACTCACTGCGTAGCCTAGGTTGGCCTCAAACTTGGGGCAGTTCTTCTCTGCTTCCCAAGTGCTAGAATTACAGGTGTGCGCCACCCATTGATTTTTTTTTTTTGGAGGTGGGGTACTGGGGATCAAACTCAGGTCCTTGCGCTTGTGAGGCAGGCGGTGAAACCACTAGGTTAAATTCCCAGCCCCACTCATTGATTTTTTTAAAACAAAATATTTAAAATGTCAAGTGAGATTTTAATACTCTTAGCTTTTTGGGCAACTGAAATGAGTAGAGACTTTATTAGAAGTACAAATGACCAGTGAATATATGAAAAAATATTTAATGTCCCTGGCTATTTAAAAATGAAAATTAAAACAACCCTGGGATTTCCTCTTACTTCAGAAAGAATTGCCATCAAGAAATACAAATGTTGCTGAGGCTATGGGGAAAAGGAGCCCTTCTACTAGGAGATGTAAACTAGTACCACTCACTATGGTTATATGGTGATTCCTCAAAAAACTAAAAATAGAAATTTCATTTGACCCAGCTATTCCCCATCTAGGTGTCTTCCCAAGAGTTAAAGACATAGTATTACATGATCTATGAGGACTTGTGTTTATAGCAGCATAACTTGTAATAGCTAAATCTTGGAAGTGGCCAGTATGTCTGTCAACAGATGAATGGATAAAGAAAATATAGTACAGTGTATATATGTAATGGAGTACTACTTTACCATAAAAAAGGATAAATTTGAGTCGTTTGTAGGAAAATGGATGCACCTTGAGACCCTAATGTTAAGTGAAATAAGCTTAAATATTGTGTGGTTTCTCTTATATGACAAAGCAAAATAAAAAGGCAAATAAAAGATAGATAATAGGAGGAGATAGGGAGATAGATTTTTTGCAAATTAGAAGGAGACCAAGAGATGGACAGAGGGGAAGGTAAAGTGAAAAACATTTAGATGTATTATGTATATATGCCAACTACCCATGATGAGTGTGATCATTATATACTGCAAACACGAACTAATAAAATTAAATTACTTTTAAAAATAGGAATAGGCAAAAGGCCAGGATTTTATTTTTACTAAACTAGATAAATTTATGAGCCAGAGTACATGCAGGTATAATTGCCTCTTATTGATCTAGTTCCAGATCAATACAGTATTGTTTCCACATGAAGTGTGAACTTTAGAGATCATTATTAATACCTTATAGCTTTATCTTGTTAATGTTGGCCATGTATTTCATTTGTAATATCCTATTCTCCAACATGGCTCAGATTTTTAATGAAATCAGTATGAAAACATGGTTCAGTTTATAGAAACTTGAATAGTAGTTATTTACAGTCAGTTTGGGGAATATGTGCTTCCTCTTCATTGTACAAAACAATTTTGGGGGTTTGGGAAGCAGTGCAGAGGATGGAACCCAGGGCCTTAACACACTAGGCAAGCATTCTTCCGCCAAGCTATTTCCCTAGCCCATGTGTTTTTGTTTTTGTTTTTTGGTGGTACTGGGGATTGAACCCAGAGCCTTGTGCATGTTAGGCAAGCACTATGCCATGGGGCTACATATTTGTTCCCTTTTTCATTTTTGAAATTTTGGGACAAGGTCTGTTAAAATTACCTGGGCTGGCCTCAAATTTGTGATCCTTCTGCCTCAGCTTTCTGAGTAGCTGGAATTACAGGCATGCACTACTTTACCTAACTTGCCTATTTCTTTTTTTGGTGAAAGGATTAACAGAGTTTATAGATGTCTGTTCTATCAGATTATGGAGATTCTGAGTATGAGTAGTGACTGATGCCCAGGAGGACACATCCTTAAACATAACTTGAATTGTTCTTTTTTTTTTTTGGTACATTTTGGATATACATAATGATAAGATTCATCATAGGGAATTTGTAACCGTACATGATATATTTGGCTGCTTTTTTTCGCATTCCCCTCCTCTCAACCCCTCTTTCTCCCCTGATTTTCATTTTTTTACCCTTGTTCCTTTTTTTAATTGTTCTTTATCCTCCAGTCAATTGGCTTATGTTGATGTCTTTGTCTAACTGTGGGCCTTTGATGGGGATGAGGGCCAGAGATATATTTCAGTAGTAGAGCAGAACATGCATGAGACCCGGGGTTCAGTCCCCATTGCTGCAAACAAACAAAAATAATACTCTGATACTGGATGTTAGTGACTTGACAAATGAGCATTGACAGTAGTACCTTTCGGAGCTCCAACTCTTAGACATCAAAAACAGAGCCTTATTCTCATTTGTTACTACGGTGTTCGAAAAACCTGAATGTCAGTTAAAGCAAGCCTATCTTAATACATATTTGTATGGAATTTACATGCTTAGAATTGGACATTACTATTATTTTCCATGAACATTATTCAACAGAGTTTTCTGTTTGATTATAAGATGAATAGTTTTAAAGGCACACACCATTTTTAAAAGATAGCCTTTTGGTGGGAGCATGCTGTGGAATGAACCCAGGGCTTCATGCAGGCTGAGCAGGCGAGCACACTGTCACTGAGCCACAACTCAGGCACTTTTAAAAAATATCAAAAGAGGGCCAGGGATTTAGCTCAGTGGTGCTGCCACCTGCCTCGCAAGTGCAAGGTCCTGAGTTTGATCCCCGTACTTCCCCCCAAATATATGTATCAAAAGAAGTATTTTTCAACTGGACAAGATGGACTATTTAGTACACCCTGTAGAGGTAAACTTTGAAGGGAATTTTAGAAGACATACTTTTACCTTTTCTGTTCTGTATATTAGGATCTATGTGGTAAATAATCCAAGATTATGTTAGCCTCCTTCATAATTAGCATAAAATTTACTATTTAAGTGCACTTTAATATATCTTTGTGGAGCTGTGTCAGATTGTTGCTGGTACACAGATACTGAAGGTTGCATGATATAGTCACATTTCACCACGGCACATGTCTATTTCGTTCTGCTGACTTTAGTGCCCAGCAGCCATACCCCCAAATGCTGGGCATCCTGAAGGTCTCATCGTGCAACAGCATCTATCACTATCTTCAGTACATCATTTCCTTTTGAAGTACATACTGCGACTTAACTACAAAAATAGGAATTATTTTTGTTACATACATAAAGCAGTACTTAGCTGCTGTCTCCTGGCAGTGTTGAATTCCCCCAAATGCTAAATATTTATCACCTTTTCCTGTCTGTTCTCCTCAGTCCTGTCGTCCTTTAGCATGCACTCAGGCTTGGGATATGTTACTAAAATGTGCTCACTTTTCTCAGCACTGGCTGCAAGTGAGTACTGGGGCAGCATTACTCCTCAGTCCCCGTGAGAAGCACATGCATGTCTGTACACACACACACATGCACGCACACATCAGGCATATGATTCCGTAAAGCTGGAATAATGCAGATTCCTTGTCCTAATGCTAAATGAGTTTCATAGTGTTGACTCACAGAGTTTGAAGTAGAGCAGTTATTCCTTCTGGCCACCAGTCTTGGATTTGTAAAAGAAGATAATTATTCTTTCTAATCCTTTGTTGTTTGCTGCTTTGAGTACTGTATCTTTGTTATAGATTAGGGCAGGATGCCTTAAGTTTAAAAACTTTGTATATACTATATTTCATATATAAGGCAGAGACACCCTAAAAATGAAGTTCTGATTATTTTTATTTTTTATTTTTTATTTTTATTTTTTGGTACCAGGGACCGAACTCGGGACCTTGCACTTGCGAGGCAGGTGCTGGAACCACTGAGCTAAATCCCTGGCCTGATATTTTTTTGCAGAGATGGCAGGTGTTGAAACACTGTTACAGCTCTCTGTGAATGTGTGCTCTATGAAATAAACTTGCAGATCAAAAAAAATCTTTGTGATTTAATTATCTATTTTTCTGTTCTTTTTTTTTTTATTATTGTACCAGGGATTGAACTCGGGACCTTGCGCTTGCAAGGCAGGCGCCGGATCCACTGAGTTAAATCCCTGGCTTTCTGTTCTTTTTTAATTAACCATTTGAGCTATTTATGCCAGGTATTTTTTCCTAACTAATGTCTATTGGAAACTACCTAATACTGTATTCATTTATCATGATTACTGTGGTTCCTAAAAAGTCACTAAGTCTGGTGTTCATTTTACTTGTTAATTTGAATACATTCACAATTAATTAGAGAAAAAAAACATACTGTACTAGAAAATAATTTTCTTTTTGCATTTCCCACTTTTTTAATAGGGAAGAAGTTCGTGCCCCAATTCCTCAAAAGCAAGAAATATTGGTGGAGCCAGAACCTTTGTTTGGTGGTAAGTTCACCATTTTCTATGTTTGACTTGTCTTTAGGATTTTAATGAAATGATGGAGAAACCTGATGGCTCGCTCAGAGAGTGATACTTTTTAAGTAGAGTCACTTCTTTTCTGTATGTTTATATAGCCCTCAGGAGTGCTCCTTAACTAGTTCATAAGGAATGAAGCAGATTAAATAATTGATAATGTTGCCGAAGGCCAAGAGGAAGAAAGTTAGCAAAAAGAGCTACTGCTTTGTAATAGAGATAGATCTCTCATTAGATTAAAACTTTTTTAGCTGGATGTGGAGGTAGATGGCTGTAATCCCAGCACTTGGGAGACTGAGGCAGGAGGATCACTGTGAGTTCAAGGCAATCCTGGGCTACAGAGTGAGTTCAAGGCCAGTCTAAACTACACAATTGAGACCCTGTCTCCAAAACAAAATAAAACAAAACAATAGATAGGACGTTTTCCCCCGAGTATCCACTTGATTGCTGTATTCTTACTGTCTGAATATGCCTTTTTTTAAAATTTGGAAGTGCTATTCCTGTTTTGAACAAAGGAGAAAATAACCCCTGTTCGACACAAAAAATTGTGATAGCAGTCTGAGTGTGTATGGAAGATGATGGTAGAGATTGAGACTTTTAATCAGTTTTAGAGAAAATTAATAGTTTAATCAGACTTATTTCCCCTTTGTGAGCCAAATATTTTAGGCATTAATGAGTTTATTAGAAAAGAAGTTGAAGTTTTAATCTGGTTGGGCAGACAGAGATAGAGAAATGTATATTGTATGTATTGAGAACATTATTGAGGAGAAATAGTCTATTTGAAAATTAAGAGCAGAGACTATATAAAGGAAGGAGGAGGAGAAGTAAGTTGTAAGAGAAGGATGAAAAAAATTAAATACACACACATATACATACATACATATATATATATATATATATATTTTTTTTTTTTTTCCCCCTTCCCCATTTGCGTTACTGAGAATTGAACCCAGGGCATTGTCCTGCTAGGCAAGTATTCTACCACTGAGTTACATTCAGGCCTTTTACTTAAAATTTTATTTTGAGACAGAGTCTCACTAAGTTACTCAGCCTCAAACTTGGTGATCTCCTTTTTTAGCCCCTTTGAATAGTTGAATTGTAGGTGTGTGCTTCTAAGCCTTGCTACATCTGTATCCTGCCGCCCCCCCCCCCCTTAGGTACCGGTGATCAAACTTAGGACCTTGCACTTTCAAGGCAGGTGTGATGCCACTGAACTAAATCCCCAGCCCTACCTGTATCTTTTTTATTTGGAAAAGCACCTTAGTTGAGAATTTTTATTAGATGTTTTCTTGGCAGCTTTGGAGTTTCCTGTAGCAAGAAATAAAGAATATACAGTTGTCTTATGGTTTATATAGGGGACTGGTTCAGGACCATGTTCCCTACACTACTTTCTCTTTTGAATACCAAATCCCAAGTGTTTTTAAGTCTCATAGAAGGTGATTTAGGATCCAGATTTGGTGGTACACATCTGTGATCCCAGCACTCAGGAGGCTGAGGCAAGAGAATCTTGAGGTCCAGACTAGCTTGAACTACATAGTGAGACACTTTCTCAAAAAAAAAACCAGAACAAAAAAGACTGACTGTTTGCATATAATCTATGCACATTACCTTACCTATTTCATATCATCTCTAGATTACTTGTAATACTTAATATAATGTAAGTGCTTTGTAAATCATTATATTGTTCAGGGAATGACAAGACAAACAGTTTTTCTCGTAATTTTCCGCCTGTGGTTGATCCGTAGTCAGGGAACCTGTATGTATGAGGGGCAGGGAGTGACTGTACTGTCTAGATTCAGAAATGAATAAAGCTCAGGGGAAATGATAAGCCTGACTGCTGTACCATAATAATGCATTCTGGGCTCTTCACATTAGCCAGCCATTGTGCTGTTAATATACCAGATGTAATAAAATGTTGTTCCTATTTTTTCACATAAATGCTATGAATAGATCTTGGAGCTGAAGAGTAATGCTTTTGGAAGCTTTATCTTTTCTTCATTGTGAGTGATAAGGCAGGACCTTTGAGTGGATATGACTATAGGAAATGAATTCTTTGCTATCTTCCTGTTGAACGGAGGCAACCGAGTTCCATTTAAAATGAGACTTTTCTGGGCCAGGAATTTAGCTCAGTGGTTTTGCCACCTGCTGCGCAAGTGCAAGGACCCGAGTTTGATCCCCGGTATCAAAAATTAAAAAATAAAATAAAATAAAATAAAATGAGACTTTTTTTTTTTTAATTTTTTTTTTTGAGACTTTTCTTATTTTTACCTCTAGGTTGACATATGGTGACAGGTGTAGATGAGAATGTATAGGTAGGAAGGAGGATCATAAATCTAAACCCAGCCAAGGCAATTTAGTGACTTAAAGGGGGGGTGGGGGGCTGGCAGAATAGCTCTGGGTTCAATTCCCAGTACTTCTCAAAGAAAAATTTTTTTTTTTGGATGGCGAAACCACTGAGCTAAATCCCCAGCGCCCCCCCCATTTTTTTTTTTGAGAGGCTATAGTATACCAGCTAGAAATAATTACAAATATACTGTATAGTTCCAAAGTTGAAAAAAATAACATTCCTCAATTTTTAGTAAAAATTTAATATTATTATATTACTGGTTGGAAGATTGAACCCAGGGCTTTCACACTGAGCTACATACCCAACCCTTTTTAATTTTTTACACAGAGTCTGGTTGCTAAGTTGCCCAGGCTGGGCTGAAACTTGCCATTTTCGTGCTTTAGCCTCCCAGATTGCTGGGTTTGCAGCCGAGTGCTACCCTATCCAGGTTCCTCAATTATTTTTAATTAGGAAGAAAGGAAAAAAGAGGGAAGAGAGAAAGAAGGAATGAGAAAAAAGAGGGAAGGAAGAAAGAAAGAAAAAGGAAGTTAGTGTAAATTTTTTTTAAAAAATCAATTTGAATATAAGAATTCACTACAAAACTAAAACATGAGTTTTAATAAATCACCTTTTCTAGATATAATATTGTGATTCTTTGATATAAATATTGATGACACATGAATGATATACTATATAAATACATTTTTAACAAAGATGAGATTTTGTTTGTTTGCTTTTGGTGCTGGGGATCGAACTCAGGACCTTGCACTTGCAAGGCAGGCACGATGCCACTGAGCTAAATTCCCAGCCCTATAAAGATGAGGTTTTTAACATGTGGTTCTGCATTTCTTGTTCTTTTGTTTTGGTTTTTACTTGGTTGTTCTCTGATAGCAATCATTACCCTATGTAATGAGAAACAGGGTGTACATCCTCTGCTTCTGGTCATCGTTTATTATTGTTCTGATTACATGCCAGCCAGGCTTGCCATAGGCCAGCACATATGCAATATGGTCATTTTTTTCTGGCTTAATAACATCTACATACAGGATGATAAAATTTTGATTATGGCATTCTAAATCTTATCTGTAAAGTACAGAGATTAGATGTTTCACAGTGTACAAATGTAGCAGAAGAACTTGGTTCTGTTCATTCTCCTGTCTCTAAACCACTGTGTAATTGTGCATATGCCTTTTTCTTCCAAAACTCATGTTGTTTTTGATGTTTGTACTGACTGAGCTTGCACTTCCTAAGAACATGGTCCTTAAATCTTAGGGTTTCAAACTTACTTAAGAATTATACCACCCAGGGATTTAACTCAGTGATTCCGCCGCTTGCCTCACAAGTGCAAGGTCCTGAGTTTGATCCCTGGTACCAGAAAAAAAAAAAACACCCCAAAAACAAAAAAGAATTATACCAAAGACTGCTCAGATCCTTGACTGAATCCAGTATTTGAAACATGAGTCTTATTCCCCACATGGAGTCATCCTAAAAATCTTCTTTCTTCTAATACCACCATTGGATTCTTATCTTATTGTTCTGGTCAAATCTCTTAACTGAGCTCTAATTTTCTCGTTTGTCAAACAAGTTGGTTGTGCTAAAGTTGGTTGAATTAATTATATGTGAATGACTTCAAAGTGTCAAAACACTCTTGTTTTTTTAGCACTGGCACCAGTTTGAATCGACCTCTACCTTCCTACCCCCTACCTTCCTGGCACTGGGGATTGAACCCAAGACCCAGGCTGGCTCAAACTTGCATTTCTCCTGCCTCAGCCTCCTGACTGCTGGGATTATAGACATCTGCCACCATGTTTGCCTCTGTATGAGTATTTTAAAGCAAGAAGTACTTTATAGTAAGAAAGTTTTTAGATTTGTTTCAAAATTAATGTTAAATTTTTTTAATGAATTCTGTTTTTTCTCCTAAAGCTCCTAAGAGACGACGGCCTGCGCGTTCAATATTTGATGGTTTCCGAGATTTTCAAACTGAAACTAGTAGGTATCTGTGGACCATTATGATTTTTCCTTCCCCTTCCTCCCTAATAAACAGGGAAAGATGATTAATATTAGGCCTAATGCTTGGAGGGGTAACCTTATTTAAAAAATGAAATTAGGAAGTCTGTGTGTGATTACCTTCTCCATAGCCAACTCTTCCAGATTCTAACCTATTTGGTTCTAGAGGAATGATAATGGAGCTGGAGAGAATGTAAGGAATCTGGTAATTTATCAGTGGTCAGCTTCTGAATGGGCACCACTTGAAGGCTGACTCTAATCAAACAAAACTGGTTTCCCAGGATCCTGTCAATGGAAGGAATGACTAATGAAAGTAGTTATAGATTAAGCCTGAAGAAAAAGCCACACAACCCAAAGCAGCCATTATTGACCAAAAATCCTAAAAGAAAAAATATTTTTAAAATACCAAAAAATTCTTAGAAAACATAAAAATAAACATAAAATGTGGGGTACCCCAGTATTCAGGTGCCCACACCCCAACACTAAATCTAGCCCTATCCTGCTCCCCGACACAGGTCCTGAGAAGCAGACTTGGGGTACCTGGACCCCAAAATCTGGGTACCCTGTACCCTGATATTGAAGTGTCCACACCCCCACATTGAGTCCCACTTGGGGTACCTGGACCCCAGAGATTCACTTTTTGTGGAGTAAGTTAGGAGAATCTTGGCTTTATACTTTTAGGTGATTTAGTACTGAATTTGCAATAGAATCCTAAAGAAAGTACAGTTCATGCTTTTAGAAAATGTGTGATAAACTCTTGGAGTGTGCTTGATTTTGTAGTTGATTTACAGTAAACTCATCAAGGCATGAGTAGATCTTATAACTTTGAAGAGACCTGAAGGGGAACCTAAATTGACTGAGGTCACTAAGCGATCTGTGCCCTTCCAGTGGAAGTTTTCTTTTGTTTTGTTTGCTTGAGATCCTCCTGTGTCAGCCTCCAGAGTGCTGGGAGTACTGCATGGCTTTGGATTTATTCCTGGAATTTAAACATATTTTTCCAGTAAAAAGTCACAATGCTTGGCTCTACTGCCACAATCTTTAAAGATTGAGAATGTAGTTAGAAACGAGACAAATTAAGATAACTTTCAGAATTATATAAATGAAGCTGAAAGCTTTTATGTATGTTGAAATTAGTTTTTGAGTATGTGAAGGAAATTACTTTGATTAGGTGAGGTTTTTTTTTTCATTGTACTGAGTATCAAACAGGGCCTTGCTGATGCTAAGCAAGTACTTACCCACTGACTACACCCCCTGCCATAGTTGAATTATTTTTCTGCTTTTATCCTTTGGATGGGGAGTACTATCAGACTTCAGAGTCCCTCCTCACCCCTTTTCCTTGTTTTTTTTTTTTTTTGGTACCTGGGATCGAACTTGGGTCCTTGTGCTTGCGAGGCAGGCGGCAGAACCACTGAGCTAAATCCCCAGCCCTCCCTTTCCTTATTTTTCAGAGTCAGTATTAGATCTTTGCATTTGCATTTGAGATGTGAAGCACATTGTTTAGTAATTCTTTCAATTGATAAAAGTTTTTTTATTGCCAAGTCATGGTTTCTTTTATTTTATATCTAATTGATTTTGTCATCCATTTTTATTGCAGTTCGGCAAGAGCAGGAACTAAGAAATGGTGGAGCAATAGATAAGAAACTAACTACCCTTGCAGATCTATTCCGGCCACCCATTGACTTGATGCATAAAGGCAGCTTTGAAACAGTAAGTTGTTCGAGAGTCTGCGCCTTATCTGTAAATCCTTTTGCATCCCTGAAGAATGAAAAAAAAAATTTTCATTATATAGGGAATTGGCACCTTCTACATGACATAATATTTAATTTTTTTGTGGTTCTTTTGAGACAGGATCTCACCATGTAAGTTGTCCAGGGTGGCTTTGAATTCACAGCAGTCTACCTGCCTCAGCCTTCTGAGTGCTGGGATAACATGTGTGCACCACCATGCCTGGCATTGATTTATTATTTCTACCAGCAACTTATAATTGTATTTTTAACAGCAATGGATGGGATTGCTTGTTAGATGAAATCTTTTGATTAGCCATGTGTAGTTTCATTTTAGAATCTTTGCCATTTTGATAGCTTTTTAAAAATCTTACTTTTTAAAGTTTATGTATTGTCTTAGTCATTTTCCTCGTTGCTGGAACTGAGTACCAGACACAATCAACATAAAGGAGGATGGGTTTATTTCTACTCATGTTTAAGTCCATAGTCCTCTGGCTCCAAGGCAGGATAACATGGCAGAGGGGCCTGGCGGAGGAGAAGATGCTCATGGCTTGGCGTTGGGGAACCAGAGAGCCAGGATAGGATCTGTACCCTTCCAGGTCGTGACCACAGTGATCACCACCTCCAGCCAAAGCCCACCCACCTCCTCAAAGCAAGTCAGCTATAAGGCTCCATAATCCAATCACCATCCCAAAACAGGAAGCTTGTGGGGGCCATTCTAGGACTAAATCATACCCTGGATCTGTGACTGTACTGAGAGTAGGTGCTTGTTAAGTATTTATGAATTGTTCATAGATGTCTTTTACCTATACAGTCATTCTGCCTTCCCTGCAACTTTACTTCCCATGGTTGCATTTACCTGAGATCTGAAAGTATTAGTTGGAGAATTCCAGAAATAAACATTTCATGTGCACTGTTGAATAGCTGTGCTGCCCAGGGCAGTATATTCATCTGGTGATACCACCTACCCACCAGTCACATGGTGCCATCTTGGTTATCAAATAGACTTTTGCCTGTGTTGAAGCAACTGTTACTTTATTTAATAGTTGCCGCAAAGCTTAACAGTAGTGATGCAGGTGGTTCAGATATACCAAAGCGAGGCCATCAAGTGTTTCCTTTAAGTGAAAAGTGAAAGTTCTCAACAAGGAAAGCAAAAAAACTTAAGTGCTGAGGTTGCTAAGATCTGTGGTCAGAATGAATCCTCTATCTATGAAGTTGTGAAGAGGGACAAAGGAATTCTTGGCTGGGTGTGGTGCTGCATACCTGTGATCCCAGCACTTTAGGAGGCTCAGACAGATCACAAATTTGAGTCCAGCCTGAACAACTTAGTGAGAACTTGTCTCAAAATCACAATAAATAAATAAAAAGGGCTGGGAATGTAGCTCAGGGCTATATCTTGGGTTTAGTCCCTGGTACTGAGAAAAAAATTGAGCTAGTTTTGTTGTTGTGCTTCAGACTGCAAAGATTATTGCCATGGTGTGTTAAGTGCTTAGTTAAGTTAGAGAGGACATTTAAATTTGTGTAAGTACAGGGAAAAAATAGTATATGAAGGATTTGGTATTTGCAATTTCAGGCATGCATTGGGAGTCTTGAACATATTCTCTGTCAATAAGGGGAAATTATTTCTGTGGGGATCCTAGTGTGTTTGGGAGAAAAAAAAATTGCTGAAATTGCAGAATGCATTCATTCCCCCGTGGTTCTTCTGGATTTTGTTTTTTTGAGACAGGGCCTCACTATGTAGTTCAAGCTGGCCTTGTACTCACAATGATCCTCCTGCCTCAGTCTCCGGAGTGCTGGGAACACGGGTGTGTGCCCAACACCTGGCTCATCTTGATTTTATCTTGGGTAACCCCAAAGGAAAACTTTCCAGAGGAGATTTATTTAATTGTTTGTGAACTTGTAAGCTTAATGAGAACAAGGGAAATGTGTTTCTTTTATTTTGGTAATCCTTGGGCCATAGTTGCTGGGATTTAATAGGAACACAACATTCATTAAATAAATGAATTTATTGAGAAGTTTAGATATTCCTTGGAAGTGTTCAAAGAACTTGCTTTTATGTGTTGACTTACATGTTGCTTTTGTGTTAGCATATTAATGCACTTTTCAATCAGAATATTTCCACAGAAATATTACTTAAGTAACTTAAATCCACAGAAACTACTTGAATTTTAGATTTTATATGTAAGTATAAAGTAGGCCAAAGAATAACTAAAAATTGTACATATCGGCTACTTATTTGAAAATGAATTCTGATTTTTAAAAAAATTGTCCATTGACATACACTAGCACAAAATATTTAGAATAAAGGGCCGGGGATTTAGCTCAGTGGTTTTGCCACCTGCTGTGCAGGTGCAAGGACCCGAGTTCGATGCTCGGTACCAAAAAAAAAAAAAATTTAGGATAAGGAATTAATCTGTAAACTTGCTCTTTGACTTTAGTTTTCTGAATTGTAAAACCTGAAAGTGTTTGGTTGTGTTTAGGTTTTTTTGTTGTTTTTTATTTTGGGGGGGACTGGGGATCAAACTGAGGACTTCACGGTTGCCAGGCAGGTGCTGTGCCACTGAGCTACATCCCAGGCCCATGTTTGGTTGTGTAACAGAAAACTGGAATGTTGGTGATTTGACCAAAGGTTTATTTTTCTTTTTATATATAGATAGATAGATAGATAGATAGATAGATAGATATTAAAAAATTGGTACATTTTAGGTATACAATATATTTACATTTATCATTGGATATTTGTACCTGAAAATGATGTATCTTAGTTCTTATTTTTTCCCACATTACCTACCTATGTGCCCTTCACCCCCTCCACCCTTCCCTATTTACATAGACTTTGTTTCCATTTTTTTTCTTTCTCATAATTTTTCCTTTCCCTTCTTCCCTTTCCCCTTCCCCTCCCATCACCCCTACCCCTTTGGACCTTTTCCTATTTCAAATT